GTTGCAGAGATTTATATCCTATATAAACAGATGAAAATGGTATCAGTCACCCGATTAAACAAATAAACAGACAAAATCAAACTCTTTATTCAGAGCAGCATTTGTCTTTTTCCTCAAAAACCAGCTGCGTGCAGAAAATGTTTTCTCTTGCATCGTTCAAAGCCTCTGAATCTGCTCACCAGGACAGCCGATTCATCTGGCATCTTGACCTGACACTGAGCTTTCTAGTTTGAAAAGGTGATTGTGCTCATTAGTCCTGCAGGAGGATGTACAATTACCCATATGAGCAAAAATCAAATGTCCCTCACCTACAGAAATCCTTCAGAGAGGAAGCAATAACAGACTGAAGATGGAAACAGAGTGCAAGGTGTTGACAGTTTTGTCAGGTAGCAGTCCCATGCACCACCTTTGGAGCGCTGACAGTGAGCCAGGCCTTATTAGCCCATATCAGTGCTGGGCCACACTAATTCTCTTGTGGCTGAATGCGAACAAATCCCTCCAGCCAGGGTTAAAAATGCGGTGCAACGTTTTCCCGGGGGAGTGAAAGCTGTTAAAGCAGAGGATTAATGTCTTTTGTATTCACCACAGTGGGTTCCTTCCCATATACAGTTATATCTGAATGTCAAGTAAAATAACGGAGCATAAGTATAATACATATTATACAGACACAGGTTTTTGCTACTCTTCAAGCAAACTGATGCAATGACATCATCTTTTGAAACTTTCAGCCCAAAGTTGTTTCCATCAAAACGAAGATGAACCCAGTTGCTGTAAGTGTCCTGAAAGGATGATTTCATTCTCCGTGTGGAAAGTGTGGAAGACATTTGTCGCCTATTTTCGCAGCAACATAGAAACTTTAGAGGACAAAATGAGAGTAGAGAAGAAAACTTCAGGAAATTGAAGTGATAATGCTCACTCTGGGACAGTTCTGGACGGGTACTATCCTCACCAGAAGACACACTCCATCAGCATCATATCTTGATAGGCTATAATACAGTTTCTCCTCCGGAACAGCAAGTGCGATTTGCTCATAACGCACTGCTGATGTTTCGAGTTCACATCCAGAACACAACTTGCTACACGTCATAAACCTCTTTTAATAAGTTTTCCCCCCTTTTTTCTAACTCTGTCCTTTTTCTTGAGGAGATATGACTTGGCTCTTGTAGGCTTATAATTCTTTGAAGGGCTATTTTTTAATCACAACATATAAAGACGAGTGATAAAAAAGATTAAGAAGAGAGAATGAGCTTCATACTGTTAGAGCCCATCCGCTGAGTGTAGCTTCTTCTGAGTATATTTTATTCTCTTTCATGGTTGTATATCAGTGTTTCACAGAAGTCTATTCAAATCTGTCTTCATTCTCTCTGCCCATTAACTCTGATTTGTTGCAGCGATCCAGAGGATGGGTTCAGGCTGCCAAAAGAATACTGCACCTGTGGGATCATCGACATCTTTCTTTCTTTTTCTGCTTAAATAGTAAACACCGTGAGGTCAAGGAAAGGATGAAGCAGGAATTCAAGTTCATCTACTGTTTGAAACAGACGAGCAGTGAAGAAACATGAAATGTAAATCGCTCCAATAGAGTCCAAGGATAAAAATAAAGAACTAAAACATCAACATGTCCTCTTTAGCTCAGACCTCTTCTACTACTTTAAAATTACTGCAGTGTTTTGTTGTCGCCCTCATAAAAACTTACATTTCCTCAGTTTTCTCGATATAATGAAAACCAAACGCAGTCTTATGAGACGTGTGTGTTTTGTGCATAAACTGATCTGTATTTAATGTTCTGTAAAGCTAACAATATTTATGATAATGAAAATAAAGCCGCATGCTGCCAAGCAGCAACAAACTCTCCCCATTCTTCTGGTGTAAATGAGTGGGCTCACAAATCCACATATTTAACAGTAGTAGTGATAATATGTTGCAATACATCGTATAAATGCTCGCACTGACACTGTAATCCTTAAAAGGGATAGTTTTCCTCATTTTAAATTCCCATCACTGTCCAAAATTTCAGCCATCTCAACATCCGTCATCCTCCTTAAGGTCACCATCCACCCGTTCACTGGGAGGTCTTCTGTTCACACAGCAAACAATAGCCGGGTAATAAAACACGGGTTTCATAATTTACCAACATCTTTTCTGTGGGTGTTACCATATACTGAAGAAAGTTATGTGTCACTTTGTGAATCACACACAGACTAGTCCTTACACCGTGTTTGTACTCACACAAACAGACACTGAAGCTTATTCTAAAAGCAGCTTCAATGTTTTATCAAAGCGGACGAGCTTTTAAACT